AAAAGGCATATTTTAGCTTGTAGTGTTGTGGTAATAAGCGTTTTTATGTATCTTTTTGACACTCTTGAGTTTGCACAGTATATTTTGCAAACCTTATGTGTGCTACCACTGTATAATACTTCATATGTTGCTCAGCTGTGTCGTCTGAGTACAGCAATACCCCCGTATGTACCTTTGCCAGGAATATGTGGACATTGAAGGGGCACATTTGAGACACAGTCATTCCAGTTTGTTTTTCAAACTTTACATTTTTAAGCTATGTCCATGTCCCATTTAAGAGTATTTTACAAGGCTATAATCCAACTACCCCATAAAGGCAGACCATTTCTTAAAGAAGACATCCCGGGGTATTTCAAAAGGCATATTTTGAACCTTAGCGTGGGATCATTTTTTCCGCTAGCTTGTACCAAGTGTAGTGGTAATAAGCGGTTTTTTTTCTGCCTTTTTGACACACAAAGTGAGTTTGCACAGTATATTTTGCAAACCTAATGTGTGCTACGACTGTATAATACTTCATGTGTTTCTCAGCTATGTCGTCTGAGTACAGCAATACCCCCGTATGTACCTTTGCCAGGTATATGTGGATGTTGAAGAGGCACATTTGAGACGCAGCCATTCAGGTTTTTTCTAACTTTGAAGTTTTACGCTGTGTCCATGTTCCATTTTGGTGTAGTTTAGATGGTTGGTTATTCAAACTTCACAACAAACACTATTTATTAAAGAATACACCCTGGGCTAATTCAAAAGGAATATTTTGAACTTTAGCGTGGGATCACGCTTTGTTCCAGGTGTAGTGGTAATGAGCCTAATTTTTAAATGTATTTTGTTTACTTTTTTTAAACTAGTTTTTACACTTTTTTTTTTTTTTTTGCTTATTAATTTTGTAAACTTTCTTTATCGTTAACCCCTAACTAGCAGTAAGCAGCACTAACCGTGAAATTCCCCAATTTCTCATAACCCCACCCACCCCAGCTAGCAAAATAATTTTTTAAATATTTAAATTACAATACAATAAAAAAAATAAAAATCGGTTCACAGTATAATACTGTCATCTGTATTTTGATCACTGTAGGTAGTGATCAACTGGCAGGGGAAGGGTTAATTTTTATTAGGACCGGGTAAAGGAGGGTGGGGTTTTTTGTTTTTAACCCCTTAGACCGAGGGCTTACTATTACGCTCTATTTTAGGTGGCTCTAAACGCTGCCGGGCTGAATAGTATGCCCTTCGGTCTTTCATTACTTACCCGTCGCCATGTCCATGACGGCACGGGTTGGGACTCCCAGGAGCCCCGCAGCAGGTCTAACCTCTTGCAGCCCCCCCGGCCATGTGAGAGTGAGGTCCTTGCGAGGACCTCACAATCACATGGCTGGTATAGCTGGCTGCAGCATTGCCAGCAGGGGGGCTGCCTGTAATGACAGGTAGTCCCCCTGCTGGCTGGAAATAAAATTAAAGTAATAAAAGTTTAAAAAGTGTAATAAATAAATATATACTTAGATTATATATATATATATATATATATATATATATATATATATATATATATTTTATGTAAATACGTTAAAAAATAAAATTACAAATAATTAAAAATATATAGGTGTGTTATTTCAAAATTATATATATTTTTACACATACGTGTGTGTGTATATATGTATGTAATATTTTTACATAATTGGGTATCTTAATTACAATTTGACCTCTGCATGCAGCTCAGCTGTCTGTCTGGGGCCAGTAAAAATGGCCCCAACTGACAGAGGGGACCCCCAGGTTTCTATAGAGCACAATGCAGTGTGAGCAGGGTTAAATCCCTGCTCACACTAGGAAACCCAGGTATCATTAGAAACCTGGGGGTCCCCTCTGTCAGTTGGGGCCATTTTTAGTGGCCCCAGACTTTTTGATGAGCTGCATGCAGTGCTGAAAGTCAGCACTGCATGTAGTCATTTAAATCCACAAAGAACACTGCAGCTGAGCAATCAAGCTCAGTCATTCTCTCAAGTGATCTGGTGCTTGGGAGACCCCCAGGGTCTGAAGAGACCCTGGAGGGTCACCCTCTATGCCCCAATGCCATTCTGATCAGTGCTGGGCATTTTCAGTTGCCCAGCACAGATCTCATTGCATTGGGCATAATGTCTTCAATGTAAGAGATGGGAGACTGCAATACTGAAAATAGCCAGTAGATGGCAGCAACATACCACTGTCTATTTTAGTTTAAAACCCCTTTACTTATATTAATACTGATATTATAGGGAAATCTTTGGGATTAAGATTAAATTAAGGATTATTCGGTTTTGAATAAGTACTAGATTTATTATCGGGTTTATGTTTAAAGGACCACTATAGTGCCAGGAAAACATACTCGTTTTCCTGGCACTATAGTGCCCTGAGGGTGCCCCCTCCCGCCGGGCTCTGGGTAGAGGAAGGGGTTAAACACTTACCTTTTTCCAGCGCCGGGCGGGGAGCTTTCCTCCTCCTCTCCTTCTTCCTAGCGACGTCATCGGCTGAATGCGCATGTGCGGCAGGAGCCGCGTGCGCATTCAGCCAGTCTCATAGGAAAGCATTCATAATGCTTTCCTATGGACGCTGGCGTCTTCTCACTGTGATTTTCACAGTGAGAAGCACGCAAGCGCCTCTAGCGACTGTCAATGAGACAGCCACTAGAGGCTGGATTAACCCTCTCTGAAACTGCTATGTTTATTTAAAAAAAAGGGGGGGGGGGGTAAATCCTATCTGGACCTGGCACCCAGACCACTTCATTAAGCTGAAGTGGTCTGGGTGCCTATAGTGGTCCTTTAAGATTAGGTTTATAATTGTAGTATTGGGATTATGGTTCAGATTAGGATTAGGGTCAGCACGGGCATCCCTTGCTGAATATAGCAAGTAAATTCCTCTGCTGACACCAGCAGGGGGAATCATTTTAACACTTTTGCTAAAGGTAGGATTGAGATCAGGATTAACGTTATAATTCAGGTTACACATGGGATTACCTTATGGGTTAGGATTGTGGTAAGGGTTTATTATTAGATTGAGGGTTAGATTTGGGATTAGGATTTGGTTTAGAATTAAAGCTTTGTTTAGGATTAGGGATTTAGATTGGGATTAAGTTCGCTACTTTCCAAAGATATACATATGGGGTATATTTGTACTGAGAAGATGGTGCTGAGTACAGCTAAAATAATTTTCTGACAGTGGGACACATGAGATTTAAAAAAAAATAAGCATCAAAAACACTGTGTGTAAAAATGTTAAAATAAAAATAAATACTACAAACTTTGAAACAAAATGTCACTTCAATAAAGCTTATAATATTTTATGTGAGAGTCCCCATGGTGTCCACTTTTGTAAATGGTTCGCATTGGTGGCGTAATTTAAATATATGAGCGACTAAAATGCCCCAAAATGAAACAATGACCCATCGTCAATTTGCCATTTAAAAAAACTGTACTGGGCCAGGTATGATTTTAGCCCTGTATTTCTTTCACAAAAACCTGGCTAAGGCGTACAAAGGGGGTCATGTTGTACTCAGGAAATATAGCTGAGAATAACTTAGTGATTTTAATGTACAATAGCATATATCAAGTTTCCAAAATTAACCACTAAAATACAACATGTGCGTATAAACATGCAAAAATAAAACAATATGATAAAATATGAAAGAAATTGGTGCTGACCTAACTGTATAATAAAGCTCAAAATATTCCATATGACCAAGCCCGTGGTGTCTACTATCACAAATGGTATGCGTTTATGGGGTCATTTTAACTGTCAAACTGCTATAATGCCCTAAAATGTGATATAGACACACCAAATGCATCTATCAAAATTCTAATAGTAATAACTGTAATGGGCAGGACTCTTATAAGGCACTGTAGCTTCACAGGATAGTGGCAAAGACATACATTGGGGGTATTGTTTTATTCAGAATAGTTTGCTGAGCAGAATTATGGGGTTTTGAAAACAGTGGCACATACCAGACTTGAAAAAGTACCCAAAAAAATTTAACGTGTATGTAAAAAATGAAGAAATTTTTTTTTACCACAAAGATTGGCATAAACTGGTGAAAAAATGGCATCACGTTAAGTCACAATATACACCATATGTGACACAATGTAGTGTCTACTTTCACCAATAGTAGGTCCTTGAGGGATAAATTCAACAGTTAAACTGCTACAATGCCCCAAAAAAAGACTTGCCCCCATCAAATTCATCTATCAAAATTATCACTGTGAAAACTGAAATGGTCAGGTCTCTTTTATGGCACTGTAACTTCACAGGATAGTGGCAAAGGCATAGATTGGGGGTATCGTTTTACTCAGTTGATATGGCTGAAAACAATATGGGGTTTTCTACAGCAGTAGTGTATATCAGCTTTATGAAATACACATTAAAAATCCTTGTTATATGTGTGTATGTTAGAAATCTGAAAAAAATAAAATTTTACTACACTGTTTAGCAGAGATTGGCGGCGAAATGGCTACGTAAAAAGTGTCAGAATACCCTTTGGTAAATAGCCTGTGATGTGTGCTTTATATAAATATATACTTTTGTGCAGCAATTTTGCTCTCTGTAATGGCTTTTAAGCTTACAAGACAAACATACCAAATTCTAAAATAGCTCCACATTAAAATTGTATTTTACTCCTTGTATTTTGTGACCTGTAACTTTCAAAATAAGATGAAATCCTAGACATATAATGTACTCTGAAAATCAGAACTAATTGAATTAGCACTTATTATACACAAGTTATTATTGCCTAAACTGTAAAAAATATTTTTTTCATTTTTTTTTTTATAATAAATAAGAATTTATATATGTATATGTCACATCAGATTAAAGCCCTTTTTGTCCTTTAAAAAACGATATATAACATGTGTTGGTGCAATAAATAAGAACAATGCAAACGGAGGTTGAACACAAACAGCAAAAAAATGCTTGTGTCCTTAAGGGTAGGTCCAGTTTTTGAAGCCGCGTCCTTAAGGGGTTAAACAGAAACAAAAGGGATTTAACTCCTAAATGGCAGAGGATTGAGCAGTGAGGCTGCAGGGGCTTGTTCTATACACCAAAACTGCTTCATTAAGCTAAAGTTGTTCAGGTGACTATAGTGTCAGCTGGTAACAGGACTCTTTATGTGTAGGGAGAAACCAGGGGAATCTTTATTTTTCATCAGTCGGATCACTAACATGCGCTAAATGTCATGACACGCTGCTTTATGTGGGCATCGGGTGGTGAGAGGATTTTGGGCTGTGGGGACTGTTGTTTAGCAGCAATAGTGCTTACCTTCAGATTGTGTTCAGTGTATGTGGATACAATACCGGATAATCATTACGGCACAACAAGAGAAACACCACGCCAAATGTAATGAACTGTATACCTTGCAGGATATTCCAAATATAAATGACCTCAAAGAGAAAAATAGAAAATAATAGTATAATACAGTACAGTATGTTTCCTGTATATGCTGGAGTAACACACTGAGCGAATCCACCAGCGAGATCTACTTCTATCCTTAGACGGGGATTATACCGTCCGTGCCTTATTCAGCAGAGCTCTTGGGTAGCTCTGGAACACCAGCACAGATATATTTGAATTAATCTGTACTGTATTATACGATTAATTTCTATTTTTCTCTTTGAGGTCATTTATATTTGGAATATCCTGCAAGGTTACACTTCATTACAACTGACGCGTTGTTTCTTTTGTTGTATCTGTTTTGGGAATTCCTTTATTATTCACTGCTGCCACGTCTGTCAATTATAGTGAGGGCCTATAAATCCCATTTGAAGGCCATTAAGTTTAATAACTTCTGTCACTTAGTGGGTGATGCTGTGCTTTTCGTGTATGTTTAATGTTGGTTGCCCACATTTCCCGCAGGTCTGACCTCTGCCATTCAAGTGACTATGAAAAACCCATTCAACGTGGTGATTTTGTTCCAGAGAATCACCCTGCAGTGCAGTTACCAAACCACCTCTACCCAGCCCCCCATTGTCGTATGGAAATACAAATCGTTCTGCCGGGATCGGATAGCGGACGCCTTTAGCTCCAACAGCCAGGAATCCATAATCAATAACCAACTACAGCAAGCAAACCCTGGATACAACCCATACGTAGAATGTCAAGACAGTGTCCGGACTGTGCGGATTGTGGCCACCAAGCAGGGAAACACAGTCACTCTGGGTGACTTTTACCAGGGTCGCCAGATTACCATCAGCAACTGTAAGTGGTAGATTTTCTGTAGGCATTCGAAGCAGTATCAGTTATTTTAGAGAGTGCAGTTTGATATGTGTATTGTTAAAGCCAGGTGCTAGTATATAGGTTTGTTGTTTGTGTGTGAATGTGTGCAGTAATGAGCATTTCTACCGTCTGGTGGGAGCTGGGGGTGCCACATTCAGGTGTCTTGTTGGAACTGTCCATGCTGACTGGAAAGTCCTTTTGCTTGCAAGAGAAGTAAATGAGTGTTCTCTGTAAGAGAAGATGGAGTTGCTTTGTGAACTTTTATATATGTTTACTGATCTTCGGTGAAAAGGTGTCTGCAACTTGTAAATTCTTTAAACTTGTTGGTTTCTCCCCTTAGTGGCAGATCTCACCATTGACATGACAGCATGGGGTGACAGCGGTGTGTATTACTGCTCTGTGTTATCGTCTCAAGACCTTCAAGGAAATAATGAAGCTTATTCAGAACTGCTGGTGTTGGGTAAGGAAATTTTGTATTGGAGGGTGGAGGGTAATGTAATCCTGACTTTATATGTTATGGCTCCAGTTTCCTGGCCTCCTTACTGGCTCGCTACCTGGAGATGGAAATTAAAACCATTATATTTCAGATCGTTTAATTTGTATTGGTGGCACAATGTATAGGGAAGGAATCCCTTATTGATGCATGGTGTAATGACAAGCATTAGATCACAGATATAATATTATGGTTACTTTTATTCTGTGCTAATTAGTCATTGGGCAGTTCTGATTTCAAACTGCTTGAAAAGCGGACGGTCTTCACCCAGCACTATTACTACTCTATTAAAAGGGACCGTCTAGGCACCAAAACTATTACATGTAATGGCTGCCAGGAACGGCCAAATATCTGGCCATGTAGCATCTGGAGCAGTTAAAGTGGTTATGGTGACTACAGTTCTCGTTTAAAGATTTATTAAATGACTGCAGAGTCAGGCAAAGCCTAAAAAACTATAGAAGAGAATTCCATAAAAATGGAAGTGTTCTGGTAGAAAAAAACAGGAGTTGTTGGTGGGAGTGTGAACCAAGAGAAAGTGTAAGTCTTTGGGAATGTGGAATGGTCCATTGTTATTGGAAGGCTATGTAGGTTGCAGTACTGTTGTGTTTTCTCTGTGTGGATTAGGATTCTGTGTTGAATCAGGGGTGTACAATGTATAGTCTGTGTAAAGATTGTTGGGGGATGAAGTACTGGTCAGTGGGAGATTTGGTGGATATGTGTATCTCTGGCATTCCAAATTAATTTAATTTTAATGGGGTGATCAGAGCATGAGTAAGACCACTGAGCAATGATTTGCAGTAATAATGATGTAAGATAATAGTTATGTATCGAGCGGTATCTGCCTGTGGTGAACAGAACCTCACCACAGGTTTTTGGAGGGGCCTGCTTGCCAGCCTCCTGCCAAAGACTATGGGCTAGGTGAGCAACTGTAAAGACTCATATATTTTATTCCCCCTGGTTTGGCACTTTCCATTCGTGCGCATAGAACCAACCTGGCGGATGTTCTCATGGACCAAAACCGCGAATAGACTTCAGGGGGACTTAGCCGCGAGTGCCCTGGAACTATTTTAGGCATGAAGACTTTGCAGGTTCCACAGCGGCACTTAGCCACGATTCTATGGAACTGTTTTGGGCATGGGACCATGCGTGCGGTCAGTCAAACTTTGACTTCCAGGAAATTCCTGAACTGACCGGGTGATTTATGGATATGTTGGTCACCCAGATCGGGGACAGCGAGACCACAGCCAAGCTGCGGCGGCTAAGGGGCTACAGTGCCTATGCTGTCCGGTGCGTTGCTTATAGTACTCCGGGCTGCTAAGCTGCAGCGATTGACGGAGGCATCAGGTCGGGGTGCCAGATTTGTCCATCACACTGCCCCTTTCAGAGTTGGAAGTGGCAGGATTTGGAGAATAGCACCTGACAGTCAGAGCCTGCAGGGTGGATATTAAGTTCTGTTGAGTTTCAGAAAGTGGTCATTCATCTAGAGATGGACGAGAGGCAACTGGTGACACAGGTTTCAAGAGGTCGAAAGACAGAGGTAGACGTGGGTGTCATTGGCATTGAAGAGTTATTGACAGCAAAAGACTTGATCAAGACACCCAATGCGGCAATACATAGTGAGAACAGAAGCAGCCCAAAACAGAGTCTTGTGAAATACCAACAGACAGCGGTAGAGAAGAATTTGTCAAAGAAAAATAGTTCTGCAAAAAGGTTAAAGAAAGAGCGTGATTGGCCAAGTTTGTGGGGGTGAGCAGAACATGCTGATGGTGCAGAGTGTGAAAAGCAGCAGAGAGATCGGGAAGCATTGCTAAAGAATAGATCCCTTTTGGGTAAAGCTGTGCTTAGATCAGTGGTTCCCAACCCAGTCCTCAAGTACCCCCTATTAGTCCAGGATTAAGAGATTACTCAATTGGTATTTTTAGAAAAAGGGGAAAAAAAACACTTTGGACACAACAGGGTGATAATCCCTAAATCCTGGACTGATAGAGAGAGGGTACTTGAGGGGACTGGGTTGGAAATCCCTGGATTAGATCATTGGTTTACATATTTAGAACCATTTTTTGACAAATACATACAGATACACACATACAAAAAAAGTCATAATAACTTATTTTATTTTTTTCTGGGGGGTCCACAATGTTGATACACTATGTCAAAGGGTTCCACAGGAAAAATTAATTGGGAACCCCTGGTCTAGAGTAACCCATTGTACAGCGCTATGGAATTTTCTGGCTCTATATAAATATTATAATAATAATAATAATTGAGGTTAAGCATGGTGACAGCCACATTACAGTAAGAATGGATTAGTGAGGACCTAACAGCATCATCGTGTTTTACTCCTAGAAACATCTACAGTGAATTCTATTCCCAGAAGGCATTGCAGCTAGTTACTAATAATTCGCATTTGGTGGTTGGAGCCCATAGAGCCTGGTCTTGCAGCAGGTATTTCAAACCTGAATGTCCACCAGAGAATCTCTTCGTAATATGGGGTCACATCTGGTCCATAAACGATGGAACTACAGTCACTAGAAATTGCTATCACACTGAATGGTTTTATTGTTTGATTTATATGTAGTTAGCTGCTGTCTCGCTGCCTGCTGGTTCTAGCATTGCCTCCATCTTTTCCACCTCGAATATATTGGATAAATTGCTGAATCAAAAATGGCTCTCTGTTTTCTAGAAGATTCTGTCCCTTGTTTCATTGTTTAAATCATTGCATCTCATTGAAGTGGTTATAGTGCCTGGAGTCCTCTGGCGCTGTCCCTGCATTCAGTGTACTGGTCATCTCATTGAAGTGGTTATAGTGCCTGGGGTCCCCTGGCACTGTCCCTCCATTCAGTGTTAAACCATTTTATTTCATTGAAGTGGTAATGGTAACTGGAGTCCCTCAACGCTGTCCCTCCATTCAAACCCATTTTTTAAGTAGTTTAACATTGAATGAGGGTCACTGGCCACCAATGGTGTCTATGTAGAGATTACATATTTCCTGTTAGCCGTATTAATTCATACTAGCAATGGGAGCTGTGCTAGGCTGTAAGCAGTCAGCTGACACTCTTAGCCAGTCACAGCCGCCCATTGTGGCTCAGAATTATGCTTCCTCATTAGCCCAACTAGCACAGAGGGTATAGGCTGCTGAGGGTATAACGCTTAACACTGAATGGAAGAACGGCACTGATTAGTTCAAGACACTATAAGCACTTCAGTGAGAGCGAGACCTTACAGTGACTACAGTGTCTCTTTGGCAGGGGCCAGTATAGTTGCACTGCATGTTTATCATTTACAGGTCCTTTTATTTGAATGAGTGGCACATTCAACATTGATACAAGATATTTAAAGTTTAGTTTGACTGAATTATTTTATAATTGATAATTTAACGAGTTTAATGTATGCTCTAAGCACCATAATCACTTCAGAACTAGTGGTTATGATGCAGTGAATCCCCTGGGCCTTTCCCAGACTGTTCCCACTGCTCAATTATCTGCCATTTTAGAGTTAAAAAAAAAAAAAATTATATATATATATATATATATATATATATATATAATATATATATTCATATTCTCATTCTCTCTCCCCTGGCTGTGACTAACACAATTTCTCTACACACTAAATTTCTTAGATTTGTACGGTAGTGGAATTTGTGGCGCTTGTTTTCTGTATGTGTGGCTGCTTGGGCTCCCAAAACCAGAGTCTCTTCTTTCTGGTAGTGTGGTTAATGTACAAAGAAGGGTGCAGGGAGGCAGCAACACTACAGGCTCTGCCTTCCTGCACCCTTCATTTCTTATATTCCCTAATTGCACAGTGCTTTTAATTTTGGAATCGTATCTCTTGCTCTGTTGATAGCCTGCTAGAACTTTTTGAAAATGAAACCATATTGTTTTTCCGCAGGCTGTGTCAGTCACAGCCGGGGGAGGTGTGGCTAGGGCTGCATAAACCGAAACAAAGTGATTTAACTCCTAAAATGGCAGAGAATTGAGTAGTGAGACTGCAGGGACATGATCTCTACACCAAAACGCTTCATTAAGTTGTTTTTGGTGACTATAGTGTCCCTTTAAGTCCAAATTGGGAAGTTTGATGGGAGTGTCCATTTTAGGAATATCACTAGACTGGAAAGACTGCAGATAATCGTCAAACTGGCTTAAAATCGTTTCACTCCTTTCTGTGGGTACTTTGTAACCACTACAACATGATGTAGTACTTATGGTACTTAGAGTACCCCTTTTACATTGTGTTTCTCCCATTTTTTTTATGTCAAATAATGTGACATATGGTGAATGGTGGATGAAAGCAGATATAACAGCCAGAGCGCTTTCTGTGAGCTGACAGGAGCAGGTCACGGTCTGTGTGGGTGAGATGGCATTTTTCATCTCAATTGCGTTATATTATGTATCAGGTTTAAAGGCACACACTACAGTCTGCAGTGGTTATGGTGCCAGGACTACCTTGCCTTCCCTCCCCGTTGTAATTGGAATGCTGTGTCCACCAGGCATCGCTCCCTGCCTGACTTTGAAGGACTTGCCTCATTGGCTTAGAGCAATCCGATGGGGCTCTTGGCTAGCCCTTCATTGAGCTTCTGGCTCTCTGGCTGAGGTAGTGGAGCCGGGGAGCGGCTCCAAAATGGTATGACTACTTGCCATGTGGGGGCGCCTTGGCGCTCCTGGTACCATAACCACTACATAGTGCATGGAGTGTTCCTTTGAGATTTTATAGAGCGCACAATATATCAGTGATCAGTCCTCGTGGTTTGTTTAATAAATCTGCATTGTGTGATCATATCTGATATTCGTAGGGTTTGATGCAGAAAATCCATGACTGGGAAATACTGATGGGTTCTCAGGGCCTGTATGTAAATAAAAGGCAATGCTTTGTTGCCTACATAGTACTCTATAGCTGTATGCTCTACAGTACCTTGTACGGATGAAAAATTCCATTGTCATTCTACGTGTTCCCTGGTTAGTGTATTACTCTGTCGTATAGGTTTCTATTTAGTAACCTATCTTTCTTTTGTCCTCCAGGTAAAACGTCAGTGATCTCTGAACTATTACCAGACTTTCATATAAGGGACATGGAAGGTAATGGTTCTATGACCACTGCGCCCCTTCCCCGCAACCCCCCCACTCATCTCCTCCGTATTTCTAAGTTAATATGAGCATTTCCCCGCATGAGACTGCTCACACCATTGGGTTTGTGGCTCCCACACAGCAATCTGTGTAGCTTGTAACACGTTTAAAGGGACGCTACCTGAAAAAAATAAAAAAATATCTCCTACCCCAGATAAAGCCTTCATGTATATCACTAAAGGGAAGACTAGATTTGTAATCCTGTCCATAATAAAATGAGCTGTTTAGTGAGCTCTCTTGTTTTACATATAGCTCTCTCCATCTGTACATATGATCAGTTATTAAGAAAATCGCACTTTAGCTTTGCAAATGGCTCATACATTGTGTGTTTTCAAGGAAGATTTTTTTTATAACAGAAAATATTTAAAAAGAGAAAGTGGAAATAGTGGGAGGGCTAATGTTCTGATTCTAGATGGCATTTATACAAACCAAGAATATGTCTATATGATGGCATCGCTTGTAAATGAGAGGCTGCTCCTGTGTCAGTCGATTCATTGCAGCTGTCCACATCACTTTATAAAGTGTTTTGTTTTCCCCAACCAACCCATGTGGAATCTGTAGGATGTTGTTTAAACGTGTCCCTGTGTTTGGTGAGGGTGCCCGATCAGACAGACTGCAGTACACATTCAATGTGTGAATTTACTCAGTGCTTTCGTGGTTTAGACTCTTCATAGCATGAAGCTTCTTGTGATGTGCAGTACCATCTATTCACTTGCTTTTGGCATTGAAAAGGTTAATGAACATGCCTATAGTGCATTGGTGTGATATTTGCTGTGTTTTGCTATAATGCTTCTCTGCATCTAATGGAACTGCTATCTAGTGCCTTTCTATGGGGTGATGGAACTGCTCTCTAGCGCCTGCCTATGGGGTAATGTGGAGTGATGGAATGAGCATGGTGTGGGGTAGTGCCTGCCTATGGGGTAATGTGGAATGATGGAATGAGCATGTTGTGGGTAGCGCCTGCCTATGGGGTAATGTGGAGTGATGGAATGAGCATGTTGTGGGTAGCGCCTGCCTATAGGGTAATGTGGAGTGATGGAATGAGCATGTTGTGGGTAGCGCCTGCCTATGGGGTAATGTGGAGTGATGAATGAACATGTTGTGGGTAGCGCCTGCCTATGGGGTAATGTGGAATGAGCATGTTGTGGGTAGCGCCTGCCTATGGGGTAATATGGAGTGATGGAATGGACATGTTGTGGGTAGCGCCTCCCTATGGGGTAATGTGGAGTGATGCAATGAACGTGTTGTGGGTAGCGCCTGCTTGTGGAGTGATGCAATGAACGTGTTGTGGGTAGCACCTGCCTATGGGGTAATGTGGAGTGATGGAATGAGCATGTTGTGGGTAGCGCCTGCCTATGGGGTAATGTGGAGTGATGCAATGAACGTGTTGTGGGTAGCGCCTGCTTGTGGAGTGATGCAATGAACGTGTTGTGGGGTAATGTGGAGTGATGGAATGAGCATGTTGTGGGTAGCGCCTGCCTATGGGGTAATGTGGAGTGATGGAATGAGCATGTTGTGGGTAGCGCCTGCCTATAGGGTAATGTGGAGTGATGGAATGAACATGTTGTGGGTAGCGCCTACCTATGGGGTAATGTGGAGTGATGCAATGAACGTGTTGTGGGTAGCGCCTGCCTATGGGGTAATATGGAATGAACATGTTGTGGGTAGCGCCTCCCTATGGGGTAATGTGGAGTGATGCAATGAACGTGTTGTGGGTAGCGCCTGCTTGTGGAGTGATGCAATGAACGTGTTGTGGGTAGCACCTGCCTATGGGGTAATGTGGAGTGATGGAATGAGCATGTTGTGGGTAGCGCCTGCCTATGGGGTAATGTGGAGTGATGGAATGAACATGTTGTGGGTAGCGCCTACCTATGGGGTAATGTGGAGTGATGGAATGAGCATGTTGTGGGTAGCGCCTGCCTATGGGGTAATGTGGAGTGATGGAATGAGCATGTTGTGGGTAGCGCCTGCCTATGGGGTAATGTGGAGTGATGGAATGAACATGTTGTGGGTAGCGCCTGCCTATGGGGTAATGTGGAGTGATGCAATGAACGTGTTGTGGGTAGCGCCTGCCTATGGGGTAATATGGAATGAACATGTTGTGGGTAGCGCCTCCCTATGGGGTAATGTGGAGTGATGCAATGAACGTGTTGTGGGTAGCGCCTGCTTGTGGAGTGATGCAATGAACGTGTTGTGGGTAGCACCTGCCTATGGGGTAATGTGGAGTGATGGAATGAACATGTTGTGGGTAGCGCCTGCTTGTGGAGTGATGGAATGAACATGTTGTGGGTAGCGCCTGCCTATAGGGTAATGTGGAGTGATGGAATGAACATGTTGTGGGTAGCGCCTGCCTATGGGGTAATGTGGAGTGATGCAATGAACGTGTTGTGGGTAGCGCCTGCCTATGGGGTAATGTTGAGTGATGGAATGAACGTGTTGTGGGTAGCGCCTGCCTATGGGGTAATGTTGAGTGATGGAATGAACATGTTGTGGGTAGCGCCTGCCTATAGGGTAATGTGGAGTGATGGAATGAACATGTTGTGGGTAGCGCCTGCCTATAGGGTAATGTGGAATGATGGAATGAACATGTTGTGGGTAGCGCCTGCCTATGGGGTAATGTGGAGTGATGAATGAACATGTTGTGGGTAGCGCCTGCTTGTGGAGTGATGGAATGAACATGTTGTGGGTAGCGCCTGCCTATGGGGTAATGAGGAGTGATTGTGGGTAGCGCCTGCTGATTACTGTGTATTCAGGACATTTATATCCCCTACCTTGGGCACAATAATTCTAATTCCATCATATTCCTCAAATTCTGCTTTGGAAAATGTGTTTGCATTTAAAGGAACAGGGTCCTCAATGTTTAATATCCTAATATAATTTTTGTTAAATGACCTCTACGGCAGGCAGACAGTGCACATCATTCTGAAAGTAACGTAAAATATTGGGCATAGTGTCAGAAAGGGGGTGGGGGGAGCTAGACAAGTAATTTCACTTTACAGCAATGCGATGGGCTGTCATAAATATATTAATTTATTTGGGACAACTTCTATCTTTTGTATGGAGTCCTGCAACATCTGATGCTGTATGAGCTGCCAATCAGGAAGAGTTGACAAAATGCATGCTGGGAAATGAAGTTCTAAGCACCAGGGAAGTGAGAATCTGTCTCTATCCATCTCTTGCAATTAGGGGGATATATATCGATATAGAGAGAGATATAATATGTTAAGGAGACCCACCGGTTAATGCGCGGTTTGCGGGGCATTCCTGACGTGCTCTGTTTGCTGTGTTATTTGGGGACATTTTGCTAACTCTCGTGCTGTGTTTTTGTTTTCCAGACTGGCTGTTTGTGGTTCTTGTTGTTCTCGGAGGGCTGTTCCTCCTCCTGCTGATCGGGATCTGTTGGTGCCAGTGCTGCCCACACACCTGCTGCTGCTATGTGCGATGCCCATGTTGCCCAGAAAAATGCTGCTGCCCTCGAGCCTGTATGTTCACACCATCCTAAAAAGTCTTCACTCTATGGAGAGATAGGAAAGCAAGCTTAGTTAACAATTACATGTCATACAGTGCATTGCTTGCCCTATACGTTCTAGTATAATATTCCACATTAACGGGAGGGGAGCCAGACAGGGGAAGATAGTGGGCACTGAAATCTTTGGAAGGATTTGGCAGTAATGGAATACTGTGGATACACAGGCAGTGGATAGCGGAATCCCCAGGTGGAGACAGACAGTGGGAAGGGGGATCTCGGAACAGAGGCAGGCAAGATTGCAAGGAGGAGGCAGACGGTGGGTAGGCGAATCCTGAGGCAGAGACAGGCTATTGGTAGTGGCATTCTGGGGCAGAGGAGGGCGGATCTCGTGGATGTGGGGTGCGGGATTCCAGCGTGGTGGGAGGCGGTCCATTGATAGTGGGATTCTGTGGCCTAGGCGGGCGGTGTGTAGCGAGATCGCAGGGCGGTAGGTAGCAGGGTCCTAAGGTGGGCAGTGGGTAGCCGGATCCCGGGGCTGAATATGATGTGGTTTGGGCAGTTAAAGATAATTAGTGAGTTTTTTTTTTTTTTTAAATGCCTCTACTTGGCCAGTTGCTAATAAAATTCCATATCGTGCCAGTAATATTCAATGTCTTCATCTTTTAGTGTATGAAGCCGGAAAAGCAGCCACCTCAGGTGTCCCCAGTATCTATGCGACCAGTGTTTACGCCCCCTCCATGCATTCCTACCCAAGCCAGGTGAAAGTCCCACCACCAGGCTCTGTGATCCATATGGGGCCTGTACAGTCTGCGTACAATGGGTACGGACTGGAATACGATGCAGCCAGCTCAGGTAAGAACGTGCAAACAGGAAGTAAGGTTTAGCAGACTGTCCCCCATTCAAGCTGCAGCTTCAATAAAATTTCTTTAATTAGATTTGTATTAAAAGAACTCTAATATGTAATACTGACACTATAGTGGTAAAATAACCATTTAGGTACCAGACCCCCTCTTTGTAGGAAAACAAAAGTGATTTTACTCCCCTTTTGGTGATTCTTGAATAGAAACAAGTTAAAAATAGATAAAAAGAATGGGAAATATAAGGTTACTGAAATATAGAAAAAGAATAATATGAATATTTAGCACTGATTACGTAGTAAAGATAAGAAGCACTAATTAAGAAGCAAGATTATAGATAAAAATGTGTATAAATATAGAATAGAGAGACGATTTTTCATATATATGAATGGTCCGAGAGGTAATGTGGGCATGACCCAAGTTAATTGGTAAAAAGATACAAATAAGGTAAAGGAATCTGCCTAACAAAGGTAGAAACCCGCCTTACTGAAAAGTAGAGTCATTCAAAGGTAATGGCAAAACAACAAAAAATAATAAACTTTATTTAATCAAGATCCTAAAGTTAAAATACGATAAAGTGGAGAAAGGAGAGCAGGAGAAAGTGTCTTGTAATATTCAACAAGTATAAAGGGTATAAAAAATCCCTATAAAAAACAAAAAAAAAGTGTGCTGAATACACAAAACAATATGTATAGTATAGTCCGAGGTGCTCAGGATATCCGTTACACAGCAGGCAGCGTACAGAACATGTTCTAATAGAGGGAAAAATAGATATCTAATTAAAAATAAATTGGTACTATAAGAGCAACAGAGCCAATAGGCTACTCTCAAATAAACTAAAAAGTAGGAAATAAATGGAAAAATATACATATGATCAGGACAGAGAAGGAGTAATGTATGACCCCCATTCAATGATTATTATAAACAACTATATAATTTTAAATATCGATTTAACCGCTGACCGTTGAGTACTGTCATTGTAAAAATCCCCTTGACTGTCCTGAACCGTCATAATGGTAAGATGTACTGACCCAATCGCTGTCATTCCCCCGGTGGCGATCAGCGTTGCTCCCATTGTGGGGAGACTGCCTGCAGCCATGGCGAATTAGGACCCCGCCCCATGTGATCGCCCAACAGAGCAATCACATGGTCACAATAGGTGTCCATGTATCTGCCTGCAGGGGGACTGTCTCTCCCTGCTGCTGTAAAATGAATTTTTTTTTTTAATTAAGGTTTATAAAAAATTGCATTTTGTGTGTGTGCGTATATGTATATGTGTGTGTTTATATATATATATATATATATATATATATATATATATATATATATATATATATATATATATATATATATATATATATATATATATTGTATTTTTATACATGTATACTATGTGTATATATAAATTAATCAAAATAATACAAAATATATCCATATACAAAATTACATAGATAATTTCATAAATATACACATAGACTTCATATATATAAATATGCATATATGTTTAAATGCTACGTGTGTATTTATGTAGCTTTTTTACATAATTAAGTAATTTTATTGATTGCAATTTGAGGGACCTGCCTGACAACCCAGGCCGAAAGTCCAGAGAATTTAATTTGCTAGCACTGTATTTTACCTTCTAACTTTCTATGACACCCTAAAACCTGTACATGGAGGGGTACTGTTTTACTCGGGAGACTTCGCTGAACACAAATATTAGTGATTCAACACATATCACAGTGATGATATTGTCCGTGAAAGTGATTTTTTTTTTTTATTATAACTTTTCACACACAAATGGCACTTTCACTGAAGATATAATGGTTGTGATACATTTTACTGTTTTGAAACACTAATATTTGTGTTTAGCAAAGTCTCCTGAGTAGAACCGTACCCCCATGTGCAGGTTTTATAGTGTTTTTAAAAGTTACAGGGTCAAATATTTTTACATTGAAAATTGCCAGGTTGGTTGCCTTTGAGACCATATGGTAGCCCAGGAATGAGAACTACCCCCATGATGGCATACCATTTGCGAAAGAAGACAACCCAAGGTATTGCAAATGGGGTATGTTCAGTCTTTTTTAGTAGCCACTTAGTCACAAACACTGGCCAAAACTTTGTTTTTTGCAATTTTCACACTCAAACAAATATAAATGCTAGCTTTGGCCAGTGTTTGTGACTAAGTGGCTACTAAAAAAGATTGTACATACCCCATATTGAATACCCGGGGTTGTCTACTTTAAAAAAAAAATATGTACATGTGAGGTGTGATTCAGAGATATGACAGATAACAGTGTTACAATGTCACTATTGATACATTTTAAAAATATATATTTTGAAACGGCAATTTCCTACTTGTACTTATAGTCCTATAACTTGCAAAAATAGCACGTAAACACTGGGTGTTTTTAACCCCTTAAGACCGGAGGGCGTACTATTACGCCCTATTCTAAGCGGCTCTAAACACCGCCGGGCGTAATACTATGCCCTCCGGTCTTTTCCTTCTTACCCCCGCGGCATGTGAGAGTGGGGTCCTTGCGAGGACCCCACAATCACATGGCCGGGGGTAGTTGCCTCCTGCATTGCCAGGACGGGGGCTGCCTGTAATGACAGGTGGTCCCCCTGCTGGCTGAAAATAAAATTTAAATAAATTAAAGTGTAAAAAAAAAATAATATATACTTAGATCATATATATATATTTTTTTTATTTATATACATTTTTATTTTTCAATTTAAAATTTCATCCATATACACACTTTCAGAGAAAAATAGGTTTTAAAATATTACAGTAAATTGAATATTGTACACATTGTTAGTAAAACCATATTTTGTACATTTATACGCTGACTACAATCAAAATCAATAGATTACATACATTGACCTCTTTCTTACACTTCCACATAAAGCTGCTACGTTACCTAAGGGAGGTTGTCATTAGGGGGAGGGGGGTTTTAGGTTTTAAGACTAAGATATCTATTCCAAGGGGCCCAAATCTCCTCATATTTCTCCTTGGATACTTTATTTATTGCTATACCTGCTTCCATCCTGCATTGATAATCCACTTGTACACAAATATCTTGCCAAACTAACGGGCCCATATTTCTCCAATTTCTAGCCATAACCAGTGTGATTGCTAGCCATAACCAGTGTGATTGCCATAAAGATGTGGATCATAAGAATTTATATATCTGATCTAAATAAATTAAATATATATATATATATATATATATATATATATATATCTATCTCTATCTGTCTATCCACATACACACACATACACTGTCTAGGTGTATTTTACTATTAATATATATATCAAATTACACGTAGACTGATACTGATTAAATATATATAATTATTGTGTGTGTGTGTATATATATGTGTATATATATATATATATTCTAAAAAAATTAAATATGTAAATACGTTAAAAAATATATAGCTGTTATTTCGTTCTAACTGTATTGTGAAATTAATATATATATATATCAATCAAAATACACGTAGAACGAAATATATATATCTATATACATAAATATATACGTATATCAATATATATATATATATATATATATATATATATATATATATATATATATATATATATATATATATATATATATATATATATAAAAAGAACTCTTAATCCTTGCACACTGACCAAACAGTAATAATATCCGGGTGCTTGTAATCCAGGGTAAATGGAGATATAGATAGGCAGAAAATGGCCAGCACTCACGGTTTCAGGTAAAAGTTAAAATTCAGAAATTTATTAGAACATCTTTAAAAATGTAGCAGCTCGACGTTTCAGTCCTCCTCCGGGACTTATTCCTGATGAAAGTCCCGGAGGAGGACTGAAACGTCGAGCTGCTACATTTTTAAAGATGTTCTAATAAATTTCTGAATTTTAACTTTTACCTGAAACCGTGAGTGCTGGCCATTTTCTGCATACATACATACATATATATATATTTGAAAAAAATTATATAGATATATACATATATATACACACATATATTAATTCTACATATATATTTATGTAATATTTTTACATAATTGGGTATCTTAATTACAATTAGCGGGACCTGCCTGACAACCCATGCCGAAAGTAAAGGGAATTTAATTTGCTAGCACTATATTTAACCCTATAACTTTCCAAGACACCATAAAACCTGTACATGGGGGGTACTGTTCTACTCGGGAGACTTCGCTGAACACAAATATTAGTGTTTCAAAACAGTAAAATGTATTACAACGATGATATCGCCAGTAAAAGTGACTTTTTTTGCATTTTTCACGCACAAATAGCACTTACACGGACGATATTATTGCTGCGATACTTTTTACTGTTTTGAAACACAAATATTTGTGTTCAGCGAAGTCTCCCGAGTACAATAGTACCCCTCATGTACAGGTTTTATGGTGTTTTCAAAAGTTACAGCGTCAAATATAAGGCTTGTGTTTCATTTTTTTCACATTAAAATTCGCCAGATTGGTTACGTTGCCTTTGAGACCCTATGGTAGCCCAAGAATGAAAATTACCCCTATGATGGCATACCATTTGCAATAGTAGACAACCCAAGGTATTGCAAACAGGGTATGTCCAGTCTTTTTTAGTAGCCACTTAGTCACAAACACTGGCCAAAATTGGCATTTTTTGCATTTTTCACACACAAACAAATACTAACGCTAACTTTGGCCAGTGTTTGTGACCAAATGGCTACTAAAAAAGACTGGACATACCCCATTTGCAATACCTTGGGTTGTCTACTATTGCAAATGGTATGCCATTATGGGTGTAAATTTCATTCCTGGGCTACTATACAGTCTCAAAGGCAACGTAACCAATCTGGCGAATTTCAATTTCAAATGTAACGTGCTATATTTGACCCTGTAACTTCCCAAAACGCCATAAAACCTGTACATAGGGGGTACGGTGTTAAAATCGTATTTGTTCTCCCATTTTTTTCATATTAAATTGTTTCATAGCTAAATATTTGATATTAAATGAAAGCCCTGTTTCCCCTGAATAAAATGATATATAATAACGGTGGGTGCATTTACTCTGAAAGAGGTGAATTACGGTTGGACAGACATGTAGCGCAAATGCCAGGTTTTGTTTACATTTTGTTTTGTTCACAACGTGTACATTTGGCTCCGTCCTTAAGGGGTTAAACTCAGGACAACATTTTGAAGCTATTTAGCAGTTTTTTTTCATTCACATTCGTAGGTAAGTAAAAGATTTTTCAAGTAAAAGTCAAAAAACATGTTTTGTTTTTTCAATTTTTCACCAGATTTTACTTTTTAAAAAAAGTAAATTATATGACATGATACAAATAATAGTATGTAAAGAAAGCCCTTTTTGTCCTGAAAAAAAACAATATATACTTTGTATGGGAACAGTAAATGAGAGCGCGGAAAATTACAGGTAAACACAAACACCACAAAAGTGTTAAGAGCCCTGGTCCTTTAACGTAAAACATGTCCAAAACAGTCCGGTCCTGAAGGGGTTAAAAATAAATAGAATACTATGTAAATAGAAGAATGCTAAAATTATCTAAGGGACAACTTGAAACTCTCAATACCCCTATGACACAAGAAGAAATAAAAACGGCAGTTAATAAATTTTAAAATAAATAAAGCACCAGGACCAGACGGATATACAAAAAGATATTTAGGAATCTGCTGTCCGAACGTCTCTCCAGAGTTTTTAATAAAATAATTAACAAACGTACCTTCCCTAAGGAATTGCTAAGGGCAAATAGCATCCCCATTCTGAAACCATATAAAAATCCGGAAATAGTATCTAGTTAGCGTCCTATATCTTTATTAAACGGCGATGTTAAAATATGCCACTGTCCTTGCTGAGAGACTAAAGATAAATATTTCAGGATTAATACAAAAGATCAAGTGGGATTTGTCTCAGGTAGACTTGCTAATAGTAGTTTTTAAGAAGAGTTCTGGATATTTATGATGCGGAACAACGTATGAACCCTGTCATTGGACGAAGAGAAGGGCTTTGACCGGGTCAGATGGAAATTTCTGGATAATACTTTGACGGCATGATGCTATTATGACCTTGTATACGGTACCCTCAGCGAGAACAGTGGGACCAGGGATAGAAACAGAGTGGTTTACAATAGCCAATGGCACAAGGCAGGGGTGCCCCTTGTCCCCCATGCTATATGTATTGGCAATATAGCCTCTTGCAAAATTTATGAGAGACTCTGAAGATAAGTGGTCTGGTGATGAAAAAGGGGGAGCATAAAATAAACCTTTTATGCTGATGTATTGACCACTGTGGAGAGACATAGGATCTCGGTACCTGAATTGATTAAAATAATAGATCATTATAATAAATATTCAAATTATAAATTGAATGAAAGTATGACCATAGTAAGAACAAATAGAGTTAATAGGATAGAACAAAATTTAATTGTATGTGGGTAAAGGATGATATTACCTTTCTAGGCATTAAAATTCCAAGAAACCCAAAAAGGATAGTAAAGGCAAACTTTCTTCCACTAACAAAATTTACAAATAAAATTTTGAAGGAATGGGTCAATAAGGACATTTTAAGATTTCATTGATATGACAATTAAACACTATAAGATCTTACATCTTACTAAAATGTAACTACATATTTAGAATGATACTTGTTCAAGTGCCTTTGGTATGGCTAAAAATGATCCGGACAGCATTTTTCAAAATTTATATGGCAAAAAAAAGAAACCCAGAATTAATCTAAAGCCATTGTCAAAAAAGAAAAATGAAGGTTTAGCTATCTCCGATATAAATTATCATAAAGCCTGAATGATTTATCATGCTATTGACTTATGTATGAATTCTCGAAGCATGGTATCAGTTAGAATCAGAAATTATAGAATGTGATTATATGATTATGGTCTTTTGGACAATGGGTAGAAAGTACATCAACAAAGCAGATCCTAAAAAATCGTTGGTTATAGTAAATATTCTGAGACTGTGGCAAAGACTTCAAAAGGATCTCAAAATAGAAAAAAGATTGCTAGATCTTTTGGCTATAGAATTAATATCCGGAAATATTGTAGATATAAGTGTAAGAAGCTGGAAGGAGGCAGGAATTGGGAAACTCTGGGAATGTATATCGGGAACGGAAATTAAAACCGAATATAGATTGCCAAACAGAGAAATCTTCACATATTTAAGAATTAAACACTTTTTGGAAAAGTAATGATTACCTAACAAAAAATATGAAAACAGATTAAGAACAATTCTTAGAGGTCAGAATACAAGGGGACTGATGTCTTCCTGTTTAGAAATGCTAAAAGAAATAAAAACTGAAAATAATTTTAAAGCAAAAAGAGCATGGGAAAAGATCTGAACAGAGAGATAAGAGTAAGAATGGATAAAGTCTATTACAAATGTTATTTAATACAACGGTACATAGCGTAGAGAATTTCTATAAATGAATAAACCGTTTGTATATTGTCCCCGTAAAACTGGCTAAAAATGTATAAAGACGGAGCAGATTGTTGGATATGTGGCAGTGCAAAGGGCAATTACCCACATATTTGGTGGAGTTGTGAGCTTATTGGAAACCCGATATGTACATTATTGGGTATTGATCAGGTTTAGACTGGCCTAAAATGTCTAAAGAGTGCAATATGATAACACGTATTCTGATGGCCTCAGAATTGGTATTGGCAACAAACTGGAGAAGAATGGAATGTTCTTAATCCCCAAGTGCCATATCAATGGAAAATGGAAATGAGTATAAATAGAAATAAATCCTACAGTTTGACAAAAATAAATAAATGGAAAACCCTACAAGCATAATAGGGGAAAAAAGTGACCGATACATGTCTCTCTCTAAGTGGCAAATGAAGTAAAGAAAAGCAATAAATATATACCTTAACCAAAAGCTTATACAGAAAGTTATGTGTGGAAAAGTATGTTTTTGAATGTAGTAGTGAATGTTCCTCAATATGTATCACATTCTCCAAAAGAGAAAATATATATTTTGATAAATAATAGAATTTTTTTTAAATAAAATAGATGTAGCTTCCAGATTAACATGTGTTTATTCTTGTTGTAGTGGGAGGACACAGTTCCCAAGCACCCCTTCTTGTTCGAGATGATGTTGCCAACTCAGGTACGAGATTTCCATATGCAGCAGTTTAATATTTATTTATAAAATATTTTACCAGGAAAGGTACATTGGGATTTCTCTCGTTTTCAAGTATGTCCTGGGTCCACAAATCATTGCATTGATACATTAGGTTACAAAAACAATATTAATACATAATATATACAACATTTAACATAGAACAGGTAGGAAATATATAATCAACCATGACACGTGCATGGGGAAGATTTTAAAGTGTGCAGGAGGTAGTTTCGTAATTGCGGCCCTCTGTAGGAAAAGGAGGATCGGGCTGCTTTCTTTTTGTATTGAGGTAGACTAAATAAAGTGCTGGTACTGGATTGGAGGTTATAGGGGGTGGGAACAACAGAGGAGAGCATTCTGCTCAGGTGGGGGGGGAATTTCCCAAAAAAGCTCTTAAACACAAGGCTGGAAAGATGAAGGGTGCGTCTGGATTCCAGCGACAGCCAGTTTAGTTCCTTTAGCATGTCACAATGATGGGTCCTGTAATTACATTGTAGCACAAATCGACAGAACGAGTTATACAATGTGTTGAGTTTATTAATGTGGGATTGCGATGCAGTTGCATATACTATATCCCCATAATCAATGATTGGCATCAGCATTTGCTGTACAATCTTTTCCTTTACTGTAGAGCTTAGGCAGGCTTTGTTTCTGTACAGGGCACCTAGTTTTGGATAAAGTTTAGATGCAAGCTTTTCTATGTGCAGGCCAAAAGATAGATTGGGGTCTAATATCATACCCAAGAATTTAAAAGAGTGGACTGCGGTCAGTGTGCCATTTGAATTTGTTTTGATGGATAGGTGGAAATTGTGTAATTTAGGTACTGTTCCAAAGATCATTGTGACAGTTTTGTCAGTGTTCAGGAAGAGTTTGTTTTTTGCGATCCACCTTTCTACCTCTGTAAACTGGTCTTGAAGCACAGCCTCAAGTTGCGGTAGATTGGATTTGCTTGCATAGATTATGGTGTTCTCTGTGTACATGTGAGGATGTGCAGACATTAGGCAGATCATTTATAAGTAATGTGAATATGGAACCTTGGGGTACACCACATGTGACTGGGAGAGAGAGAGTCACTGCCAAAAATGGACACATATTGTGATCGATCCGATACATGATCGAAACCAGGTTAGTGCACAAGCACCAATACCTGATTTTTATTTTTGTTTTTTTTTAGTTTGTGCAGTAGAATGTCATGGTCTACTGTGTCAAAGGTCTTTGCAAAATCCAGGAAAATAGCTCCAGTTAGGTCTCCTTGTTCCATGCCAGCTTGGATGTCATTGCAAACTTTTAAGAGGGCAGTTTTAGTGGAGTGATTCTGGTGAAAGCCCGATTGATCAGGGGTCGGATTGTTTGATTGTTGGTAATACTCACGTAGTTGCTTATGGACGCAAGATTTTTGACAATACTGGGAGCAATGATATTGGGTGATAGTTAGAAACAAAAATAGTGTCCCCACTTTTATGGATAGGCACTACTCTCGCAGCCTAACAAAGTTTGGGTATGTATCCAGACACCAAGGATTCGTTAATTAGGGTTGTGACAGGTTTAGAAATTGCCGGCGCACTGAGCTTCAACAGCATTGCTGGGATTTGATCAGGTCCAGACTGGTTTTTAATGACACTAATAGGTACAGGTCTAAAACTGAACTTGTCTATGCAAATTAGCAAATTTAGTGGGGCCTGGTCCACATTAGTAGTTTCAGGATGCGTGTCATTTATTAGCTTGGCAATCAGGGTGGTGGAGCTTCCGACAAAATAATTGTTAAAGACATTTGCTACATCTAAGGGAAGTTGCAGGGTTTGGTTGTCCACTTTGACAGTTGAGGGTTGGGAGTGGATTGGGGGAGTTTGTAATTTATTTATGACTTTCCAAAAGTTACTAGGGTTTGAAATGTTGTTCAGATTTTCATAGAAATATTGGGCTTTGGCCAATTTTGTTTGTTTTTTGTGCATATATTTCGCCATTGTCTATATGCACCGTGATCATTCATAGAGCCAGTACGCTTGAACTTTGACCACAAAGAATCCTGAAACTGGTACATTTGGATGAGGTCAGCTGAGATCCAATTCATATGCGCTCCTTTTACCCTCACCTTACGCAGCGGGGCATGCAAATTCCAAACTTGTAGGGGTTCAGACTGAAAGAATTCAACTGCACAGTCTAGATCTGAAATTAGGTTTAATCTGTGCCATGGGCGGTTCTTGATGTAATTTAGAAAGGATTACATTTTTTTTTTTTTTTTGAAGGACTTGGGGATTTTAACCTTGAGAGTTGATTTAGTAGCTTATTTTGCGCACGCAGTACACAAAGCAGTGGACACTGAAACTGTTAGGGAGAACACCGGCCTCCTGGATTCTATCAGGAGAAGTGAAGAGAATCCAATCGAGCAGGGTATGGTTAAGGCTTTTAATGTTTATGCGAGTTGGGGAGGAGATTATTTGCGTTGGCTTCAAAGTCTCGAACAGTGACCAAGAACTATTATTTTTAGGATTCAGCAAATCAATATTAAAATCTCCAAAGACCAACAGTTCACCTGTGAATTGGATACTTTAGAATTTTGTGAGGTTTTTGTAGGAGGGCTATTTTTTTTTTATAACGCTCCACCAGCCCTCAGCAGTTACAGCAACAGAGCAGGCCATGGTGTATGATAATTTTGTCTTCCAGTTTGAGGTGTGTGCTTATAGTGCGGTAGTGATGTGAACAAAATTGGAGTGCGAAAAGGGTTATTAAGAATAACAGTATGGTTATATTTGGATTCATGTTAGTGGTATGAGGTGTGTAGATGAAAACGAAACACAAATAGTTAAAAGCGAAAGTTTAAAAATAAAAGTATATAACATTGGTGTGATTTTTTTATATATATATATATATATATATATATATATATATATATATATAATTTGTAGTGAGAGAGGGTATGTATTCTGTAGGGTTAAGAGATTGGAAGGGTGTGCTGATCAGTGTTTGCACCTGTCATTTCAGGAGAATGAAGGTTGTGTGGGAGACTATCTATAAATGAGGAAATAACTGGGTGGGAGGGAAACTGTCCTCCAAAAGGCTACCTGTTGCATAGGGCAGTGGAACAGCTGATGGAGCTCTGTGTTGCCTGCAAGTCTGGGGCTGGATACATTTTGATAATAGATAGGCGCATTTTTCCTGCTTGTGGCACATGGTTTAAGTAATGGTTAGTAAAGCATTTCAAGGTAGTTATTAAATGCAGCTGTGCTAGTGTCCTCTATTAGATGGTGGCATTCTGGTATCCTGTATAATCTGTGGCCAAGTCTGGTCCAGATGGGTAACCATTCCTAATATTGCAGCCCAATCCCCGGAGATAATACGGCCGGTGATATATTGAGGACATTGCTTTCTGGTGGTGTCTACATAACCATTGTGTTTACATAAAATAACAGTAGTAATTCACAAACTGAGGATACCGCACTCACATTGGGGAATCCAGGTGCTTATCAGGGCCAGGGTTGGCAAAACCCAGATCAGTAGATAAAACGAGTGTAACTGAGCTTCCTTTTCCCCCTGTTGGATGCCTCCGCCGATGGATGCTCCTAGTGCTTACCAAGGGCTCCAAGCACTTCGCCAGACACCATAAGTACTGCAGACCCCACGAACCACCGCAACTTGGTTGGGGTCTCGCCGTCTCATAACCACCCTTGTCCTACAACAAAGCTCCAGGTTCCAGTGGGTGAACCTCTCTTCCTTCAGAGTGTAGCAGGAACAGCACTTACAAGAGCTAGTGATTATCCAATGGTGATCATAGCAATTCCCCCCAATAAGAGACAAGACTGAGGGTGAAGTAGAACTGAAAGTTTAATGGAGCATACTGGTCTTTTATACAAGTTTCCCAACAAGGTTGACGCCCAGGTGGACCTTGTTGGGCACAGGACACAAAATATGCAAGCCAATAAAAGCAGTGTAACAATGAACGACACTCCCACATACATTTCACAATCCCTCCCCTCTGCCTGTGATACAAATAAGGTAGATAATACAAGAACTTAATTATCTCCAGACAGAAAAAACACACATTTTTATAAAGTGCCATAAGTACCCCAAAACACAACATATCTCCTGATAGCACTGATCTGGGTGAACAACATATCCAAAAATCACCCAGATCAGATCAGAAGTTCAGAAATTTTATGGAAGCAGGATTTCATGCCCAAAACAGTTCCACAGATTCAGCAGCACGCTGGAGGACCGACCAGGAACCGCAAGGTTTTCATGCTGTAAATCGTTCCAGGGCATTCGCGGCTAAGTCCCCCTGAAGTCTATTCACAGTTTTAGTCCATGCAAACAAGATGGCCTCCACCACGTGTTCAAATGTCGAATGGCGGCCATTTCAACTGTTCGGGAGTTTGAAGAACTAATGTTTAAAGTGCCAATAGGCACATTTAGGGTCTCTCAGCCAAGATAAATTAAAGGGGCCATAGTCAGAGGCTAAAAGGCTGGCAAGTAGTCCCCTCCAAAACCCAGTGGCGAAATGGATTTCGTCACAATGAGCTTGATAAAGGGCTCTGTATAGGCCGAAACGCTGCAGTTTTTGTTTCAATAAACCTGCCTTCCTGCAGCAATCCTGAGTGCCTGGACCTAATTTAGTTTATCTAAAACTAGCTAGAACAAGGCTAGAAGATGGAGTTATTTCAACAATTCTATTTGGATTCTGCATACTTGACAAGCCCGCTTATATTAAATGGAGTTTACATTGTTACATGGCAAAACTGCTTGGGGAAAAAAATCAGAAATTCATTATTACACCTGCTTAACAAAAATTGATTCTGTTTAAGAAGTTTTAATGATTTCAAGTTATTTTAATGGTTTTATCTTCTTTAAGTTCGCAGTGGTTACCGCATTCAAGCCAATCAACAAGATGATTCCATGAGAGTCCTTTATTATATGGAGAAAGAACTGGCAAATTTTGACCCAGCCAGACCTGGGGAGGGCAATGGCAGATTTGAACAGAGTAAGTCACAGTAAAAGTTGATATTTGAAGATTATGGAAATGTATGAAAATGATTCGATACAATTTGTATTTCCAGCATCAGCAATGAGCGAGATTAGCTCCTTGCATGAGACAGATCATCGAAGCCACCTAAGAAATGGTTTGGGCCAGCTACGCAATCAGGCATTGACTCCAATCCGGGATGTTGAGGAGGAAAGCCTCATTGGAAGTGAATTCAGACGTCCCCCACCAAGACAAGACCCTTATGTGGAAGATAGATTCCGAGGAGAAAGGCGTGCTCGAGCTCACTCAATGGATGATTTGGATGATTTTGACAGACGAGATAGATACCCATATCGTGATCTACCATCCGACAGCCACAATCGGGGAAGGCGTAACTCTGACGATGACCATAGCAGCAGGGGCTACAATAGAAGTCGGGGCAGCCGCTCACCTGAACTACGTGATGACTACTACGGAGGACGAAGAAGTCGAAGCAGAGATGATCTCCAGGATTTAGGCCGTCCTCGATATGACAGAGAGTATGATGATCAATTTCTTCAGGATGTTTTGAGGAAAAAGAAGCAAAAATCAGGAAGCAGAGATGGTTTAGAAAGTGCGGGTGCAAGAAGGAACCGTAATGATGACAATGATGACTTCCCTCCTCCACCACCTCCATACACTGAAAATGAATCCATCTCTTCTAGGGGCAAGAAGATGAAAAAGGTAAGTCAGTCATTTCAAATTACCTTACCAACTGCTCACTATCATGCTGGAGCAACCATACAGCGATGATCGTAAGACGTGAGATTGAATGGGGTTTTAGAAAGCACAATAACCATCTGTGCTTCTCCAGTTGTGGCCAGACCGGTTGCTTCTATCATGGACAAGTACGGCTTATGAAAAACATAGCTAGATAATATAAACTGTACTGTGGCTCGTAAATAATGGGCATCTGTCCCTTCAACTCAAAACCCATTGCTTGTAGTTATGCTGGCTAGAAAATTCTATTTGTAGAAATGTGACTTATACAGGATATATCTTGCCTAAAGAGTGCAATTTCTAAGTGAGCATCTTATTTAAAGATCCTGGGGTACCCTTCTCTAGAGAATAAAACAGATACATGATGCACGCACAGTACTAGTTGCATACCCATCATACCACTGATTATAAAAATATGCTGTGCTAGATGGGGCAGCACTACACACTCCATAATCCATTAATATTAAAGACATTTTTGTGAATTGGTAAACCAGTAGCAGTTTAGAGAGCTTTGTAAGAAATATAGAATGTGCCTTCTGCAGCAAATTGAATGAAATACTCATTTTTCGGGGGAGGGGTGGCAATGCCACTTTAAGCACTTTGAAACTAAATTGTCTCATATTCTTAGTCAGTGTTTCATTGGAATAATATCATGTTACAGCTCTGAATACTTGGGATTTGTTCTATTATGTATTCGTATAACTAAATTGCATTCATGGTGACAGATTAATGTCTCTTTAACCCCTTAAGGACCAAACTTCTGGAATAAAAGGGAATCGTGATGTGTCATGTGTCCTTAAGGGGTTAAAGCTAAAAGATAACTGAGCATTTGTGGATTTATATTCTTCATGGTTGTCTTTGCTAATCCATGAATATTCTGTTTTATTCCCCAGAGTGAAGCTCTGAGTCGGGAGAGTTTGGTTGTTTAAATCATTTTGAATTCGCTGGGAGAAATTAAAATGGGACTTCTACAATTTTTATATATTTTTTTAAATTTAAAGACTGCATATTCTCATGAATATTTGGAGTGGATTTACTAGGGAGTTATTTGTATTTTTTTTATTTTAGAAGAAACTTAATGTATAACGTTTTTTTAAGTCAAATTTTTGTTGTAAAGTTAACATTTTGACTGTTTTTGGATTTTTTTAACAATTTGTGTAGAAGAAAGTGATTGATATAGTGTATAATTCGTTTATTTTATTTTTTTGTACATTTTCTATAAGTCTTACGTATTTTTGAAGTTTAAGTGGTAGATCTGTGTCTTCTTCTTAAACTAAGTAAAACAGGGCTAACCAGGTTTCAGAACTACAACTGCTGCGGCAAGTATCTCTTCTGAAACACTGGTGCAAAACTAGCAAATGTACATATCCCCACATTTAGGATATCGTGAATATGAGTTGTAATCTTCTATTGCGTCTATTACCAGTTTTGTACATTCTCTTATCAATGAAAGCTGTGAAAATAATTTGATTAATTTCTATATTGAAATGTTATCATAAGTGTACTGCACACTCTTAATACCGAGATGAGACTCTCAGTTACCCAGTACCAGCCTCACGAGTCAGTGCTGGTACATAGCATACAATCCAATGCGCTCTTCTACTGAATAAAACATTTTGTGATTCATTTTCGAACAGTCTTTTTTTTTTTTTTTTTTTTACTGCGTTTGACTAGAATAAGACTGGATATTTCTCTCACACTGCCATAGATCTCTCACACTGCCATGGACTTGTCACCAAGTGTCTGCTTATCTCTCTCAGATCTGGGAAACGACCTTTAGAAATAACACACACAGAACAACGCAATGTATTTCTATCACGCCTTTCAGTTTAATCCTTCACCACAGAGAGGATATCTAGATTATTAGTCTGGGGGGAAACACGTTATTCAGGCAGAGAGGATAAGGTAATATGTGTCCATACTTCCCGTAATTTTCTTTTCTTGGTCATATGCCATGGCAGCACAACGATGGGTAGCTCCTCCCTATCCCTAATTAGACAGGAACTAATTAAAATAAATGTAAGTACCTCCTCCTATCCCCTCCTCCCTCAGTCTTGTTACTAGCAATATCCCAGGGTGGGACCCTTGTGCTGCCATGGCATATGACCAGAAAAAGAAAATTACGGTAAGTATGGATACATTTTCCCTTTTCCTGGCCATATCCATGGCAGCACAACGATGGGTAATACCCAAGCAATAACCAAGGGAGGGAAGAATAAATAAAGATACCACAGACTCTGAAATATCATATGCAAAGTGTTTTGGTACCACAAACCAAGTGACAAACACCAAAACTTCAGGAATCAAGGGTTTCATACAGAAAGGAGACTTTTAGCAAATTAGTCTGAAAGACTGGCTCTGACATCCACTTGGTAATGTCTGATGAAAGTATTGGCAGAGGACCAAGTGGCAGCTCTACAAATCCGTTTAGGAGAGACCTTGGAAGAGGAGGCCCAAGAGGAGAAAAGGGATCTTGTGGAATGAGCTTTGAGTCCATGTGGGACTGGAGCTTTCGAGGCTTGAAAAGCTTGGATAAGGGCTGAAACAATCAATCTGCTAATGGTAGATTTAGGAGCCTGACTGCCCTTTCTACATCCATTATAAAGGACAAAGAGGCCTGGAGACGAACGCCAAGGGGCGGTTCTGTCAATGTAGATTCTGAGGCATCTCACCAAATCCAAGGAGGAAATATCTGTCATCCCCATCTACTTGTGGAACAGGATGCAAAGCTGTGAGAACAATTTCCTTGTTAATATTCAAGGCGGAGGTGACCTTAGGCCACAATTCTGGCATAGTACAAAGGACGTCCCTGTCCTTAAGGAAGACCGTGAAAGGCTCCTTGACTGACAGAGCATGAAGTTCTGAGACCCTTCTGCCTGAGGCCAAAGCCACCAGTAAGGCAGTTTTAATGGAGAGGAAATGGAACAGCTAAAATTTCAGGCGAACGGCTAAAAGCACGAACGGACACAAAACCAATCAGCAAACCAGTGAAAAAATGAATGCCAAGTTGAAAACGAAAGAAACCACAGGGACTTACACCTTCAGAAGGACAGCGGAAACGGCAGAGAGAAGACAGAAACAGGGAGAAGTTCAGACCAGCAAGGTACAGGTCTAGGTCCATATTCACTTGCTCACTGCTACCGCTAGGGTCACTGCAGCATTGGGAAACCAGGCATAACAGCTTCCTACCCCTTGGGTTACAGCAAGTACCAGACCCCCGGTCACTAAAGGGGTACTCTCCAGGGGCTCACCTTTGCGCAGGGCCGTGTAACTGGAGACTTCCCAAGGGAGAGAGGCTGAACTCCCAAGGGGCCAGGGGCACAAATCCCCAGGTAAGCCATAAAAGAAAAATAATAGTTGCAAGGAAAAAAAGCATAGGACAGGACCAAAAAGACTGAGGGATAGGAGGAGGTACTTAAACAATTATTTTAATTAGTTACTGTCTAATTAGGGAAAGGGAGGAGCTACCCCTCGTTGTGCTGCCATGGATATGGCCAGGAAATATAGATTATTAGTCTAGGGGGAAAGCAAGGGAAAGCCCCAGCAAAGCATTTTAGAGGCCGCTTGGTCTCTAATCAATATATATATATTTGATGCATAAGCAATAAAATTGACACCAACAACTAGTGTTTGTTTCTTTATTTCTGATTTTGGAATTCGTGTGCATTTTTATTTTGTTCTCTCTGCTAGCTCTCCAATATTTTATTTGGAAATTCACTATAGAAAGCCCCAATTCAAAGTCCAAATTAGTGCCATTTGTTCGTTTTTTTGCCCATAAACAAAGACGTGCAACTGTTTTTGTTTAGTAATTATTGATTTTTGTTTTTGTTGTAGTAATGTAAATCCTCAGAGTTGCAGAGTTTAAAGTAAAGTCATTTCAAATCTCACTATTTGGGTCATAGAAGATTTATTGTGAAATCAGAAACAGGGCACTTTATATTGATTTTATAAAGGATGTATAATGGTTTTGATTTGATTAGTTATACCTAAAACGTACATTATGTTGTCATTACGTGACTTTATGACCTGCTTACATACTACACAACTATATATATATATTTTATTTTTTTATTTATTTATTTTTTAAATCTTGTAATACCTTTTTTATTGGACTAACATAATTTTTTAATGACAAGTACCCTTTCTCAAGTTTAAAGCATTTCTGAGCAAGACGACACATTTTCTCTGAAACACCCATTTTGGCCTTCAGACAACCTCCAACAAAAATTAATCAATAGGAAACTGCCCACTGATGGGAAGAATAAAAAAAAAAAACTGTGATGGGATTTCAGCTAGGCCCAAAATTTAGTAGACCTAAAATTTCCATGCGACATATACAAGTACAGGTATCTGTTAGTTACATGTAGCTAAGATACTATCAATGTACTGAGCATGTGCAAGAACTGAAACCACATTCCATTCTCCTCAAGGGTTACGTTGCCTGTCCATATAAGGTAACCCTGTATATCCTGTTTGCTGATTGGTGTAAGGGTACAAATGGGGGATGCGTAGCTTATAAAAAAAAGCCTCTACACCATGTGCTCCGGTATTAGACATTTTGAACATGAGTTCAGCTGAGACCTGATCGGTGAGAATCAGTTTGCTTCCTAAACTGACCTGTGTCCGAACTCTCTGTGCGTGGCTTTTTCAGTGTTGCCCGGTAACATATATCTGGTGCAGTTGGCTGGGAAATCATTACAGAGACCCCGAGATGGTTAATAATTTTACCCACCTCTCCACGGCAACACGCTTGGACTGATACTGCGTGGACTTCCTTTTGTCCAGGAGACCATCGGCTTCTGTGCAGCTGATATTGGGGTGTCCGGTCGATGAATTCCGATCCCCAGTCCAGGAATTTAAGGTAAAAAACAATTTGGTGTTAAATCTGTATCTGGTATCTGACCTTTCCTAATTGGAAAGAAGAGGTGGCTGATCCCCACCTTAAGCTAAACGCTCTGTAGCTAGCTCGTTTAACATAGGGTCTGTTTGTCATTAAAAGGAAATTGCAAAAGTTAAAGGAATTTGCAGGGATGTCCATAACACAGCTAATGGAAGTCGCAAACAGGGTTTATATGAATAGGGAAGCTGAAATGAAGAGTGAGAAGAAACGCAGGATGAAAAAGAAAGTGGATATGTTAGCTGTAGCAATTACAGGAGTAGGCAGACGACGAGGAGGAGGTGAGATTAGGAATGATAGACCACAGTTAGGTAGAAATCAATGTACGTATTGTAGAGCGGAAGGACATGGGAAGAACAACTGCCCACAGAGGGGATATAAAGCAAGTTTTAGACAAGAGGAGAAAAGGGGAAGAGGTGATTGTAGAGGAAGTCTTGGAGGGAGCAGAGTAGTAACAGAGGAGACGTCCAGGAAGGTACATACTATCCCCCTACTCTGAGACCAAGGGATAGGGAATTTGTGGGTCGGGCTGATAGTCATGGAGGACTATTGATACAGACCGGGCTCCATCCCCCTTGGCTGAGGGGAGCCTATGGTCGAAGTAACAATAGGGGGAAAGAAAAGTCCCTTCATGATTGATACGGGTGCTGAATACTCGGTTGTGACCAAATTAGTAGCCCCTCCCTCTGGAAAGACTGTTACTGTAATAGGAGCTACTGGGAAAGAAGTTATTAGACCGGTTCTCAGGAGTCGTACTTGCACACTAGGGGGCCATCAGTTCCTATATATGCTTGAGTGCCAAATTCAACTTCTAGGATGAGATCTATTGTCAAAGCTTCAAGCACAGATAAGATTTCTACCCAATGGCTCAACGTCCCTGCAGTTTAATAAATCACCGGGCATGTTAGCTGTACTGGTGCCAAAAGTAGAAGAATGGCGTCTGTATTCTGCAATGATAACCCCAAACCCAAAGAGTGATGGATCATTATTTGATATTCCAGGAGTATGGGCAGAAAATAATCCTCCAGAACTCACACGTAATATTCCACCTATAAATATTACAAAGGCTAAACCCCAATTAAAGCTTGGGGTTTAGCCTTTGTCAGTACCATATACCACAGAAGGCCAAGAAAAACAGACAGACATACTTTGACAAGTTTGTGAACTGTAAAGGTGGCGGAAGTGACTCCCTGGATTCATCTCTCTTTGGTTAAACCAGCGGCAGATTCTTGGAAAGCTACCCCAGATCCTGAGAATCCTTGCAAGATCCAGTTGAAGCGAACTACCCAGTCCCTGAAGCTTGATTAAAGTGACATAAGTAAGTATGAGACAATCTTCAAAAATTGTGGTTGAGAAAGATATCAGAGAGCAGCAAGGAGGTGTTTTGATGGCCATAATAAAGCCTGACCACCTACCAACGTTTCATAGCCAGAGTGTCTCGAAGGAAAGAGAGGATCAGACGGACAACATTCCCTGCAGCCCTCACAAGCGGGAAGCTGAGGTGCCGTTGAAAATGTGGATGAAGACTTTTATCATAATGTATTTCTTTGTGTGTTTTAGTGTTTTTACTATATATACGGAATGCAGAGGTGTTGACATACAAGGCTGTGATAGTTATGTTAAGAGTATAAAACAGGTAACCAGATATCCAAAACTCTTATTTGGCACTCGCATTATGAATGTAAAGGATCTCTGTCTAAATGCAGATACTTAGACACTGGTTATAGTGTGTGTCAAGTGAACCCAAGTGCTTTGATCCCCAATTCCAACCCTGTACAATCACTTCTGGTTTTTCAAAATGCCTACTCTCATGGAGCATTTATAAATAAAACTTTAAGTACCACCTCTTCCCTAGGCATCCTACTATTCGATGCATGCAAAGCAATTTCTGATAGTGGAAAACCTTGGAACATATGTGGTAATCTTAAATGGGAACGAACCTATGAATCTAATGATAAATACCTATGCACTAGTAGAAGAACTACTGACCCTGATTGTCCAAATAGGGACTTCAACTTTTGCCCATACTGGACAGGTGTAGGTTGGCCGACCTGGGGAAAAACAGTAGACCAAGACCTGATAATTCAGAGGTTACTTACTACTCCTCATTGTAAATCAATGGAGTGCAATCCTGTACACATGACAATTTCTAACCCCCAGCAATGTATTAATAAGTTTGGGAATCTTTTCGGTTTCCAAATATATGGTACAGGGACAGACCCAGGAGCCATCCTATAGATAGGCCTTGAGACCCTGAATGCCCAAACTCAACAGGTATTCAATTCCTTTTATGATGAAATGAGTGTTGAAGATGAAGTTCCCCACACTGTTAAAAACCTGTTTATCGATCTGGCTGAGAGTATTGCAAGTAGTCTTAAAATAACTGTTTTGTAGGTGGAGGTTTAAATATGGGAGGCCAATGGCCATGGGAAGCGAGGAAAGTTTGATACCCTGGTTCTGAGACAAATGAGCCACAGATGCCATCCCACTCGAGTAATTAAGCAATTATACGGGAAAAATCAGAATGGCAATTAAAAATATCCATAATCAGTCGTGTATGCATAGCTAGGGCAGGCCCAATGTAAAACACCTCTGAAGGTGAGCTGGCTTGTCTAGGGCATAAAGCATATAATGCTAGTAGCCATAATACTACTTGGCGGTCAGTTTCAAATGTCTCAAAGCCTACCAATCCTTTTGTTAATTACACCAATTTAAGAGAGGTATGGTTTGATCTATCGGTTATATCTAACTGGAGAGCCCCAGAAAATTTATACTGGATTTGTGGGAAGAATTCAGAATTACCACAAGATTGGTCGGGGGCATGTGTGCTAGGAGACACATGCCCCTCTCTCCAAACAGGAGAGACCTTGGGAGTTAAGGTCTATGATGTAACTTATAGGAAGAACCGAGCACCATTAAATATTGGTAATTGGGAAGCTGATGAATGGTCACCTCAGCAAATTATTAATTACTATGGACCTGCTACTTGGGCTGAAAATGGTTATGGAACCCCCATATATTCAATAGCATCATAAGATTACAGGAGGTGGTTGAGATTATAACCAATGAGACAGCTGAAGTACTTAACCTGGCAAAACAGAATACCCATAGGAGGTCATCCATTTCCCAAAATAGGCTGGCCCTTGACTATTTTTTAGCGGTAGAAGGAGGTGTGTGCGGAAAATTTAATCTTCGTAATTGCGGTCTACATATAGATGACGAAGGGCAAGCTGTGGTTGACCTTACTAGCCACATGGTTAAATAATGCACGTACCTACTCAGATCTGGAACGGGTATAATCCAGGTAGTTGGTTTGGAAGCTGGTATGAACAGTTTGGAAGGTTAAAGGCACTGGTAGGAGGAGTGGTATTTATTATTATCTTATGCCTCTTACCACCCTGCTTGATTCCATTAATAATTCGGTCCATATGTAGTGTTATTGAGAGCACTATAGAAAGGAAGACAGCAGCTCATGTAATGGCAAGCTGGAGATATGAACCTCTAGCCCAAAGAGAAATAATTTGTAATCAGGTCGATGAGTTCTGAGCATTCATAAAATTCAGCTAGAATGCTTTCATGGTCTCCCCTGTTTTTTAATAACCTAAAGTGATATTGGCAAAGTATGGTAAGTGATGCACCAGAAGCATTAAAGGGGGAAATGTGATGGGATTTCTCCATGTGGGATATACAAGTACCTAAGATACTGTCATCAATGTACTGAGCATGTGCAAGAACTGAAACCACAATTTATAAATGGGGTGCCTTGGTCCCCCAGGTAAATCAATAAAACCCACCAAATATTACTTAGTACAATATTTAAGTTATTGCAAAAATACTAACCAGTCTCTTCAGGTAACGTGATTCTTAACCAGACAAAGGCAGAACTTAATAAATTAATGTTTATTATGAGCAAAAGATAGTCACAGTGCATATAACAATATATGATAAACAAATTATTAACACCAACAACAGATAAAAACAAAAAGGATAGAATACAGAAGTCCTAATTACTCACTTAGGTTTTCAAAGTAAAACTTCTGTCCAGGGGGTCTCTGGCAAGGAAAGATGGTGACTCACTCAAAATTAGATCTTGGCCCCAAGCAAGTACACCAACACCCTTCAGAATCACAGGAGATATACCCTGTGAATTGCCATGCCTCACCCAGGGGTGGAGCAATAGGGATACTAAGAGACCACCTCCTTTGTTCCAGAAAACAACAAGCCACATACAAACTTTTGGTTTTATCTCCTCTACTGTACTTGCCACAGAAATAATAATTGCCTCTATGAATTTGTTATTATTTTCCCATTCCATAGACATGTTGCACGCCCCGCCCACAATCCAATAGGACAGACATCACAAGTCCTGCCACACAGTTTAAGTTGTGCAACTCATGTTTGGGCTTAATTAAAAGATTGGGCTTGTTCCATTCCAAATATAATAAAAATGAGGACTAATTATTAACCTGTGGGTAAGTATTAATGTTTCACTTGGATAAGATACTGGAACACAAGGATCTTCATGAAAAGAATCCCATTACCATTTCAAATGATTGAATTATGCTTTACAAGGTAAATGCCAAATGGATGAAGAGACAGCCAGACTTTTTCCAAGTGTAGAACCTCACACCTTGCATATCCTTGATTACTTCACATCCATATAGTAAAATCCTTTTCACATTGCTATGCCATTCACACTACCCCTTCTGTCATCTGACCTCTGTGGGGGTCCCAGCTTCAAAAGACCTCAGCAATAGCATCTCTGTAATTTGTGCCATTTACTACACAAATTACATTAAAAGATGATATTCCATAGTGTAATAATAAATTATACACCCTTGCCGTGACACTGCAGACCCCACAAACTGCCGCTGCTGGGTTGGGGTCTTGCCGTCTCCTACCCACCCTGGACCTACAACAAGGCTCCAGGTTCCAGTGGGTGCAGTGAAACTAAGGGAATATGCAGAGCATAGCAATCCCTGTAGTGACGATAGCTGTCCCCTCCAAACACGAGTGAAGGCTGAGTTGAGGGTCAAAGTAGAACTGGTTTAATGAGCACACAGGACTTTCTTATATACACCTTTTCCCACAAGGTTACCACCCACGTGAACCTTGTGGTACACAGGACACAAAGTTACAACAGCCAATCAACACAGTACAGTACAGACAGACACTCCCAGCTATCTCGCTACTGCCTTTTGCATCCAAGATCCTTGAAAGAATTGTGTATGCAAGATTGACAGACTTCCTCAAGTCCAACTCTCTGCTAGACCCGCTTCAGTCTGGTTTCCGCGCTAAGCACTCTGTGGAAATGGCACTGACCAAAGTATCCAATGATCTACTCGCTGCAAAATCTCGTGGTCACTACTCTATCCTAATTCTCCTTGACCTGTCTGCGGCTTTTGACACTGTTGTTCATCAACAGCTTTTTCTCATCCTCCGCAATATCGGTCTACAAGATATTGCTCTCTCCTGGTGCTCCTCCTACCTCTCCCATGCACTTTCAGTGTTTCTTTCTATGGCTCTGCTTCTTCTCCCCAACTCCTCTCTGTTGGTGTCCCCCAAGGTTCAGTCCTTGGTCCCCTACTGTTCTACATCTATACTGCCTCCCTTGGTAAACTCATTAGCTCCTTTGGCTTCCAATATTATTTCTATGCAGATGACACGCAAATCTAACTCCTCTCCTGGTCTCTCCCCGTCCCTCTTGACTAGTGTCTCTGACTGTCTCTCTGCTGTCTTTAACTGGATGGCTGCCCACTTCCTTAAACTAAACTTGACCAAAACTGAAATTCTGGTCTTTCCTCCCTCAAGTGTTGTTACTCCTGTGTCTGTCTCCCTCCAAATCAACGGTGCTACCATCAGCTCCACCACGCAGGCTCCCTGCCTAGGTGTTCTCTTTGACTGCGACTTCTCCTTCAAGCTTCATGTTCAGTCTATCACCATTTCCATCTCAAAAACATTGCGCGCATCCGTCCCTACTTAATGCCAGATGCGACTTAGGTGCTGGTCCATTCCACTGTCCTTTCTCGCCTTGACTACTGTAATCCGCTTCTCAGTGGTCTTACGTGCTCCCAACTTGTGCCATTACAGTCCATAATGAATGCGGGGACGAGGCTCATCTTCCCACACCTCACCCGTCAGTCCCTACATTGGCTTCTTATAAGATATAGAGCTCAATTTAAAATTCTGGCTCTTGCTTTCAAATCTCTACACCTCTCCCACCTATCTATCCTCCCTTATACACAAGTATGTCCCGTCTAGGCCCTTACGATCTGCTGAAGACTTACGTCTATCTTCTGTCCGTACTCCCACCTCTGATGCTCGCCTTCAAGATTTCTCGAGGGCTGCACCGTTCCTGTGGAACTCACTTCCCTCCTCCGTTAGATGCTCACCCAGTCTCCACTCCTTCAAAAAATAATTAAAAATCCACTTCTTCATAAAAGCATATCAATTAAACTGTTAATAGCTCCTGACTGATTCCTCTTCTGCATCTGTCACTAGTCTAATACTATCTTTACCTTTTTGTGTCATTTTACCCCACTCGCTCTAGCATGTAAGCTCACTGAGCAGGGCCCTCAACCCCTCTGTTCCTGTGTGTCCAACTTGTCTGGTTACTACTACATATCTGTTCGTCCACCCATTGACTTCACTGCGGAATTTGATGGTGCTATATAAATAACATAATAATATTAATGCACACAAACCCTCCCCTCTGCCTGTGATGCAATTACTGAACACAATGAGCTAACTTAATTATCACAGACAGAAAATATACAGTTTTTAACCAAAGCACAGAAACACCCCAAAACAACAACATATCCCCTACAAATCCATCCCTGGATAGCTCTGATCTGGGTAAACAACATATCCAAAAATCACCCATATCAGAGCAGGGGTTCACAAATTCTATGGAAGTCATATTTGACAGACCGCAAGCATGGCTTTCATGCCCAAAAGAGTTCCATAGATTTGGGCTGTGCGGTCGGTCTATTTCACATAGTTCAAAATGCTAAGTTCCAGTCGAATAGGCGCCGTTCATTCAAATATCCAATGTTAACAGGGCGTTCAAATATTCGAACGCACTTCGATTTCCGTCGGAGTACCAGAGAAGGTAAGGTTCAGCGGTGTTCGTGCCGTCGCGTGTCTGATTTGAGTTCTATGAACTTGACGGCAAAACACTGCTGACAGCGTTCGACTAAACAAGATGGCTGCCGCCATGTGTTCGACTATACGAATGGTGACCACCCAGCCGTTCGTCAATTTGCTTGCGGTTAACCACAGCTTCTGGGAGGCAAATTGGCTGCACACTCCACTTGTGTGTGGTCCGGCTAATCGGTAGTTTGAAGTCCCACTTCGACAGCTTAAGACTGGGCCTTGTGCCCAGTCTCAATATGCCCCAATAATGTTCTTAAAGGGCAATACACCCCAGGGCCATAGTCATAAGGCATGAGGCTGGCAATCAGGCTCCTCCAAAAGCCAGTGGCAAAGGGCAGTTTGTCACAGTAATCCTGTGTATCCTGTTTGCTGATTGGTGTAAGGGTACAGATGGGGGATGCATAGCTTATAAAAAGCCTGTACTCCATGTGCTCAGGAATCAGACATTTTGGACATGAGTTCAGCTGAGACCCGATCGATAAGAATAAAGACCTTTGCTTCCTAAACTGACCTGTGTCCGGACTCTCTGTGCGTGGCTTCTTCAGTGTTCCCTGGTAACATATCGGGAACAGTCAATGCAAAAATACTTGCTGCAAACTGTGTAAGCACATATGCACAGACAACACACTCACACACAACAATAAAACCTACAGCATTAAAGGATCATACTCCTGCACATCCAGCAATGTGGTATTCATGATTCAATGCACTAAATGCCACCTAAGATGCTACATTGGGGAAACTACCCAGCCATTAAATGGCAGAATGAATATGCACAGACACACTATTAAACACCACAAACAAGGATTGTATTGCACTCCTGTGGGACACCACTTTACCCAGCCTAGTCACTCACTTAAGGACCTAAAAATCAAAGTAGTGAAAGGGGATTTTAAAAATACCCAAGAAAAAAAAACTTTTGAAATCAGAATGATCCAATTGTTTAACAGCAAGAATAGAGGACTACTGATGTCCCGAATGGTTCGCGAACGGTTCGCCGTGGACTCATCATTGAGTAAACTTTGACCCTGTACCTCACAGTCAGCAGACACATTCCAGCCAATCAGCAGCGACCCTCCCTCCCAGACCCTCACACCTCCTTGACAGCTCACTAAGAATGCAGCTTCACAATGAATGTAAAATGGATGCTGTCCAGGAGGTGGGGGGGTCTGGGAGGGAGGGTCTGCTGCTGATTGGCTGGAATGTGTCTGCTGACTGTGAGGTACAGGGTCAAAGTTTACTCAATGATGAGTCCGTGGCGAACCGTTCGTGAACCGTTCGGGACATCACTATAGAGGACTAAATATTGATTTGGGTTTCCAGTCCTACTACCAACACTTTACATGTACACTCCCCCACATTATCTTACTGTTCTGTCATATGTATCAACACTTTAAAACACATTCCAATATGTTTATTCTATCAATATACTAAGTACTATATGTAGACCTATGCTTTCCCATACGCTTATGCATGTATGCGTATATATGTGACTGTGTATTTATTTTTTAGTATATGAGTTCATGTGCATGTATGTATATATTGTATTTATATGTGTTTATGCGTTTGCATATACATATATATTTGTGTGTATATGTATAACGTGTACCATCTTCTGCTCTGTCTGCTGTTTTTTTTCTCCCTCTCCCCCCTCACTCTGATCTTCAGAAAGACATTTATGACCCTCTGTGAGAATGTTGTCTATTTTCTATCAAACTTGTCTTATCTGCACTCATGTCGCTTTAACCCCTGTATCACAACTCAGCTTTGAATGCTATGTGTCATCTTGCTCAGAAATGCTTCAGACTTGAAAAAGGGAGGTTCTGAAAGCTTGTCATGAAAAAATTCTGTTAGTCCAATAAAAAAGGTATTACAAGATACGAAATGTATCTGTTTTTTACATCTACAACACTTGACCAATATGGCAACAACCACTACTTGAACACTATATATATATAGTTAATACAATGTTAAACAAAAATCTGCACACCAAACCAGAATCCTTTGCGGTAGTAACATCACTGCAGATTTGTAATTTCTGTGGGAATAGCAAGTTTTATGGCTTGACTGGTGTGCAGATTTTTGTTTATCATTGAAAACCCCTTCCACCTGAGGATAGTTAATACAATCACAATTTTTCCCCTCCATAACCTATTTGGATTTTGATATATATATATATACATATATAAAACAAATAAAATAGAAAAAACGGGTATAGATATTAATAATATATGGGCACAGGTGCTCCCGGTTTGGGAAGAGATCAAAAGAAAGATAGGTCTCAAATATGCAATCTTTGATTCCTCAAATTTGGGGGTAATAGAAGCTAATGTTAAAGATATGTCCCTAGCTAGGTGGAAAGAGTGAGGAATCAGAAGGTGTCTCAGATATTACACCAAGATAAGCTAATGTCATTTGAGTCTCTAACCCAAAAATTCAAAATAACCAATTCTGAATTTTTTTTTTCATATCTAAGAGTTAAATATTTCTTGCAGAAACATTTGAATTTAGCTACTAAAAAATCTTCAAAGTTATTAAAATCTATTTTTTCAAATGAGGTAATTCCTAAAGTCTTAGCAAAGGCAATAGAAGTAATCAGAAATATAAATTATTCAGTAAGTTTGCCTCAAAAGAAAAAATGGAAAAAAGAATTGAACTGCTTATTAGACCAGCAAGAATGGTGCAATGCTATTAATACTACCCACAAGCAAGTTCAATGTTTTAATTTAGTAGAAACTTATTACAAAGTGATGAATAGGTGGTATCTGATCCCAAACAGTCTAGCACAGATGTATTCAAATGTTTCTAAAAAGTGTTGGAGATGTGACATGGAAGAGTGCTCATATCTCCAGATATGGTGGAGTTGCCCAGGTATTCAGAATGCACTCGATCTACTTTTTAAATATATTGGAGAGAAGACTGAGATAAACTTAGATAGGAAACCTGAAGTGGCACTGCTGCACATGCATTGGCCAAATATGTCACAAAAAATGAGAGCTTTATAATTCATTGTTTCATTGTATATAAGATTATACTTGCACGCAATTGGAAAAATAACCAAGGTATACCATGGGAGCCTATCAAAGAACAAATATTTGTACAGATTAAGATGGAAAGAGATTTAAGCATCCTGTTTTTAAATGCTCCAAAAAGACAGGCTTTTTGGCAGTTGGGTAACGAAAATGCATTAAGTTTTAGATCTAAGCAGAAACAAAACTGGCAACTCCTCCTGGGCATAGATAAATCCCTTTTGGCTTCGCAGATACGTGGGTGATTTGTGGTGTGTATGATTAATAAGAATAAAACTAATGGAAGATATACTACATTGATGTGTTGGTAGAACATGTGTTGCTGGAACCGACAAAGCTGTAGGCCTGTAATAAAAGTGGGCAAAAAGAAAAGTACCATACAAAATTTATTCACATACTGTAACTTTAAAAATATACGTCCAATCTTCATAAAACACATTCAAACTCAGCACACTTTAATTATAAACATATCCAAAATTCAGACAAATCCATCCAGTAGATAAAAAGTTAGACTGAAGTCTTTTATGACCGACCGCAAGTACATTTTCCTGCCCAAAACAGTTCCATAGATTTGGGCTGGGCGGTCGGTCTATTTCATACAGAAAAAAAACGATGCCGTTCGTGCATTTGGCTCAGTATAACAGTGAGTTCAAACTGCCGAACGGGACTTAGTCTCTGTAGCTGAAAACGGAGTGTAGGAGAAGGTAAGGGTCAGCGGTGTTCGTTGAAATTTGTAATCGATTTCAATTCCATGAATTTGGCTACACATACCGCTGACCTCATTCAAATGAACAAAGATGGCCGCCGCCACATGTTCGTTTGCACGAACTGCGGCCACCCAGAGGTCGCAATTTACCTACAGTAGGCTCCCAGCCTGGGAGGTAAATTGCCTGCACACTTCCACTTCTGGGTGGTCCGCTTGTGTGGTACTTGGTTCAGTAAGCCCCATTTACTGAACCAAGTGGATAATAGCATTAAACAAAGGATTTTAACCAAGTCTGGGGACACTGGGGACACCGTCTTAAAGGGGCATTGTCATACAAAGTCTCAATATATCCCCAGACGGTTCTTAAAGAGTCAGCATGGTCCAATACAAGTCCATAAACCACAATCCAGTTCTTAAAGGGCCAGCAGCGGCACAATATAAATCCATTAGCCCAAATAATGTTTGTAAAGTGCCATACAACCCAGGGCCATAGTCATGAGGCAGGAGGCTGGCACTCAGGCTCCTCCAACAGCCAGGGGCAAAGGGCAACTTGTCACCTAAAAATCCAATGACAAAAGGCATTTCGTCACAGCTACCAATGCATTCGCCCAAGGGGAAATATGAGACAACCGAAACGTTGTGGCGGGGTGTCAGCCTCTCTGTGATAACTAAAGCATAAGAATAGAATGGAATGGGAGTGACATGGGAGGCCCTCTCTCTGCGACCATGTCGAGGCGGCTAACTATGATTTGGCCCGAGGGACGTTTACCTCTGAGTATGAGGATGAGTGTCGATCTCGCGGGACCACTACCTTATGGATTAAGACCAGAAACAGAAACCTAGTTGGACAACCTAAATCTCAGAAAGCCAGTACCATACTAAAAATAGAAAATGTACAGGGTTATGACATCGTACCTGATAAAGTGTGAGTCAGGCTGATGCTAAGCGGAAAAATCTGAACGAGAGGGTGGCAGTAGATGACGTGCTGTGACCCATGGATAGGACTTGCATGAGTATTTTTGCGTGTGGGGTACTGCTGGGGGGGTAGGGGTACTGTGTGTGGGGGGTAGGGGTACTGCTGGGAGGGTAGGGGTACTGCTGGGGGTAGGGGTACTGTGTGTGGGGGTAGGGGTACTGCTGTGAGGGTACTGCTAGGGTAGGGGGTACTGCTAGGGGGTAGGGGTACTGCAGTGTGGGGGGGTAGGGGTACTGCTGGGGGTGGGGAACTGTGTGTGGGGGGTAG